ATTGTTGTTTTGTTTTGTTTTGTTTTTTTGAGACAGAATGTCACTTTTGTTGCCCAGGCTGGAGTGCAATGGCGCGATCTCAGCTCACCGAAATCACTGCCTCCTGGGTTCAAGCTCTTCTGCCTCAGCCTCTTGAGTAACTGGGATTACAGGCATGCACCACCATGCCTGGCTAATTTTGTATTTTTAGTAGAGATGGGGTTTCCCCTGTCGGTCAGGCTGGTCTCAAACTCCCAACCTCAGGTGATCCACCCGCCTCGGCCTCCCAAAGTGCTGGGATTACAGGCGTGAGCCACCGCGCCCGGCCCAGTCTCACCATTTTTTGAGGTGACAGAACAGAGGGCTGAAATTTCTGAAGCTACTTCTGGATTGACCACAGCCTAATGCCCTGTGGCATGTCAGTGACTTCTCTCCCCTAGAGAGTTAGTTGACAGGTTTCACTGGAGGAACCATTTTAAAAGTAAGGGAGCAGTTTGTACTGTATTCTGCTTCTGAGACAAGGGTGGATGGAAGTCAGCAACTGAAATCTAGCGCGCACAGGGACGGACACCTTCCAGGTGGCTTTGCAAGGAAGGCAAGGAAACAAACACAGAACCCGGTGACTGGCTTGTGGGCTCAGATTTTCTTTTGGATTCTTTACCAACAGACCCAAAGGTCTCAAGATTATTATCACTTGCTGGGCTTGGAGGAGGTGATGGCCGGATACATTTGTCTACTGGTTCTTGAGAAAGCTGTGTTTATGTGAAGAAATTTCAGCTCCCTGATAAGGTCATCTGGAATTGAATTTAATCTTCTGCTTTATTCGTTAATCATTATCCAGGCAGCAGAAAATGAATAAAGGAAGACTGAAGTGTTTATGTTGTAAAGTGAAGACCTCATGAACAGTCAAAACACTTTAATGTATTTTGAGGACCAAAGGGCATCATAAACTTAAACAGCAACCTCCCTGATGACATGAAGAACGTGGTCTGGCGGCTGTTTGTTAACAAACTACCCAACATGCATGCTCCTTCCCCACTGAGAGGGCGGGAGCTGCCTGCCTGCTTGTTGTATTTGGGATGATGGTAAACTCCGCGGTTTCCACCAATCGGAAAGGCATAAGGTGATAGAAAGTGTGGTCCCGCTCGATGGCCACGATACACTGTTCTTCTTGTTTTGAGGTTACTTGTCAAAGTGTACTTTGCCTTCCAAAATGGTCCTTTGGGGCTTTCTTGTAAACCACAGATTGAAGAATGTGGTTATCATGTTAAACATGCAAGATGCTGGACACAGTGGCTCACGCCTGTAATCCCAATACTTTGTTTGTGACTGAATCTTGCTCTGTCACCCAGGCTGGAGTGTAGTGGCACGATCTCGGCTCACTGCAACCTCCACGTCCTGGGTTCAAGCAATTCTCCTGTCTCAGCTTCCGGAGTAGCTGGGATTACAGACGCCCGCCACTATGCCCAGCTAATTTTCGTATTTTTAGTAGAGACGAGGTTTCACCATGTTGCCCAGGCTGGTCTTGAACTCCTGACCTCAGGTAATCCGCCCCACTCGGCCTTCCAAAGTGCTGGAATTACAGGCATGAGCACTGGTAGTCCCAGCTACCCAGGAGGCTGAGGTGGGAGATCGCTTGAGCCCAGGACATGGAGGTTGCAGTGAGCCGAGATCTCACTCCAGCCTGGGTGACAGAGTGCGACCCTGACTCAAAAAAAAAATAAAAGAAAAGAAAAAACGTTCAAGAGCGTTTCTTCCTAATATGCATAAGCATTTGTTGAGTTTAGGAGCAAAGCCTATCTGTGCCTGAGAGGAGGGAACTACAATTTAGTAAAATTTATACTTCTTAGAAGAGAGAGTACATTTTAAAGACACTACACAGAGAGAGCTCCAAGTGTTAAACTCTGCAGCTTGCTATTTGCTTGCCTTATTTTAATTGTAGGTTTCGTATCTAGCTACATAGTCTTGTCTTTTTTTTTTTTTTTTTTTTTTTTTTTTTTTTCCCCAGACAGAGTCTTGCTCTGTTGCCCAAGCTGGAGTGCAGTGGTGCGATCTCTGCTCACTGCAACCTCTGCCTCCCTGCGTCAAGGAATTCTGCCTCAGCCTCACAGGGATTACCTCAGCTGGGATTATAGGCATGTGCCACCACGCCCAGCTAATTTTTGTATTTTTAGTAGAGACAGGGTTTCACCCGTGTTGGCCAGGCTGGTCTCGAACTTCTGACCTCAGGTGATCCCTCCGCCTCGGCCTCCCAAAGTGCTACATAGTCTTTTCAAAAGACGTTTCAGCTATGTTCTCCCGGGGCCCTTGGGCCCTTCAGTAAGAAGCGCCCTGGCTGAAAACCCACACGTTCACCTACAGAAGAAGCACTGTGATGTAGAGGGTGAGCAAGGCAGAGGGCCTCACAGTGGCCCTCACACACACCTGGCTCCAGCTTGGCCAGGCCATTTTGCCCTTGTGGGCCTGTGCCTCACTTCAAAAATGGGGTTTCTTCCCTTATGAAGAAGACCCATGAATTAATAACGGAATTGCCAGGAATGCTAAAAACTGTCTAAATGCCATGTATTGTTTTCAAGCTGTTACTCCTGGAAGGGGCTGGGTTGGCATTGTTTTAGAGGTTAGGAGCCAAACATCAGCTCATCTATTCTCCAGCTGTTGTTTATCCTCCAGCTTCCTGCAATAGTCAGGCACAAGGTCTTAGAAAAATGGGTTTGTGCTACTGTATGTTTTGGTGGGCAATAGGCACACTAATATGTATCACCTTTGTTTACTGAATGGGATGCAGGTGGGGGACCAGAGCACTTCCGCATCCCTCGGAAACAGTGGCATTTAAATGTAGTATGTCCCTTCAGTTCCTCTCTGCCCCACCCACCCCAGCCCATTGATTGAGCCTTTTTTTTTTTTTTGGCTCTGTTGCCCAGGCTAAAGTGCAGTGGTGTGATCTCTGCCCACTGCAACCTCCACCTCCCAGGTTCGAGTGATTCTCCTGCCTCAGCCTCCCAAGTAGCTGGGATTACAGTCACCAGCCACCACGCCTGGCTAATTTTTGTATTTTTAGTAGAGATGGGGTTTCGCCATGTTGGCTAGGCTGGTCTCGAAATTCTCACCTCAAATGATTTGCCTACCTTGGCCTCCCAAAGTGTGTGATTATAGGCGTGAGCCACTGTGCCCAGCCTGATTGAGCCTTTTTACGACATCCCACCAAAAGGATCAGGTTCTGAGCTCCCTCAGCAGTCTGTTCCATTTGTCTCCCTTTTTAAATTCTTTTTATTAGATAGTACACATACAGTATAAAATTCAGATTGTACAAAAGGGCCAGGCACAGCAGCTCGTCTCCACACCCGCCAGTCGTACTTCCTTCCTTGCTCTCAAGTCAGTCCCCTTGTCTTCCTGTCCTTGCCCACCACCCTGGTCTGGGCATTGGTGGCCTCTTTCCCGAGTGGCTTTACTAGCTCCTGTCTTTTGCACGTTCACTCTTTCCTCCCTCCAGTGTTTTCCACCCAGAATGATTTTTTTAAAAAGATATACCTGATTCTGTTACTTCCATACTTGGCACCTTTTGGTGGCTTCCTAGTGCTCATAGGATAAAGAACAAACTGCTCCTCATGCCCTTCAAGGCCTTGCCTGGTCAGGTGCTTGTAGGCCTCCAGGGCCGTTCTCACTGTCTGCAGTCCAGCCATAGGAACTGAACATGTCCGGCTTTGCCTGCCAGAGTCTTCTCTTGCTGTCCATTGTCTGGAGTGTTGATCTCTTTTCGCTGCCCCATCTAATTGTTGTTAACTCGTCTTTTGGATCTCAGGCTTCACTTCCTCAAGCCTTCACTGTCTCCCCAGACTAACTGACAGCACTGTCACTATAACTTATTAGTGTTATAATTTCGGCTTTTGCCTGTGATCATTGGATTAACATTTCTTTAAATTATTCTTATTGATGTGGGATAGTTTCTGGACATATGAAAGCATTTTATAAACTATAAAGGATCCTAGAATAAAGGTGGTGATTATTTAGCATGCATGTTTATATATGAAGTGAAACTTTTTTTTTTTTTTGAGACGGAGACTCTTTTGCGCAGGCTGGAGGGCAGTGGTGCTATCTCGGCTCACTGCAAGCTCCGTCTCCCGGGTTCACACCATTCTCCTGCCTCAGCCTCCCGAGTATCTGGGACTACAGGTACCCGCCACCAAGCCCGGCTAATTTATTTATTTTTTTTTTTTTTTTTATTTTTAGCAGAAATGGGATTTCAGTTAGCCAGGATGGTCTCAATCTCCTGACCTCGTGATCTGCCCACTTCAGACTCCTAAAGTGCTGGGATTACAGGCATGAGCCACCGTGCCCAGTCTGAAGTGAAACTTTTAAGTGTGACATCCATGCTGATGAGCGATGGGCAGCGGAGGAAAGTCTCCCTTAGGAGCCCCTGATGAACTGAAGTAGGCCATTCTTCAATCCAATAGAAGCGCATTTTGGATGCCAGCATGTGGGCACAAGGATTTTGCAGAGATTAACAAGATCCAGACAGGCCCTTCCAAGCAGCTCGTGCTACTGTGTTTTAAAAACCAACGATTGCCCAAGATCCGTCTCCTTTGGTTTTTTCACATGGCCCAGAGCATTTTAGAAAAAGCCTTATGCAAATTAGGTGATGGGAGCAACACTTCCTTTTGATCTAGGGAGAGAAATTTTTCCTTGTGCATCCTTCTAATGATTCTTACCACTCCCCTCACCTTCCCCAACTCTTTCTCTTTTTTTAAGGGACAGGGTCTCACTGTGTTGCCCAGGCTGGTCTCAAACTCCTGACCTGCCACAGCCTCCCAAAGTGCTGGTACCACAGACGTGAGTCACCTGGCCCTGCCACCTCTTACCTCTTCTATTAAAAGATGTCTTTAGAAGTATCCCCCCTGAAAAGGAGAGGCATCCTGAGATAATTCAAGCCAAGTAAAGCTCATTTCATATCCCTTTTGTTGAACAGGAACTTCTGTGGTGTCCACTCACCAGGAGTTGTCTTTGTGTCTGTCCTTTATCCCCAGGAAACCTGTAGGAAGTGTCAGGGACTCTGGAAAGAACATAATGGCCTCACCTGTGAAGAGCTGGCTGAAAAAGATGACATCAAGTACCGTACCTCTATGTGAGTAACAGAATTCAGAGGGGCTATGGGCTGATTCTCAACTTCCCCATTAACCTGCTTTTTGGCAGAGAGGGCACACTATTGTGGGAAGAACACGCTTGAGCCACCCGAGTCTGGAGTGATCTTGGGGAAGTGACCTAACCCCTGAGCCTCCGCTTCCTCATCTCTGCAGCCTCAATGGAGTTATTTCAGTAGACAAATTAACATATAAATGCCTGGCACATGTGAATTCAATAAACGATGGTCCCCCTTTTCCTTATTTTCTAAATAAGCGAGTAGCATGTTTTAATTAGCTTAGACTGCACTGATGTTGCTTATGTCTGTGTTACAGGATACTGTTGGTCTGAGACCTAAGTAGAATTGCCCACCTCCAGAATACAAAATGATACACCTATGCTAATAATAACCATTACTTGTATAGTCCTCTCCACGTGGCTGAGCACGTTACAGATACTCACTTATTAAAATGCAGGCCGGGTGCTGTGGCTTACGCTTGTAATCCCAGCACTTTGAGAGGCCGAGGCTGGTGGATCACAAGGTCAGGAGATCGAGACCATCCTGGCCAACATGGCGAAACCCCATCTCTACTAAAAGTACAAAAATTAGGCAATCCCAGCACTTTGGGAGGCCAAGACGGGCGGATCACGAGGTCAGGAGATCAAGACCATCCTGGCTAACACGGTGAAACCCCGTCTCTACTAAAAAATACAAAAAAATAGCCGGGCGAGGTGGCGGGCGCCTGTAGTCCCAGCTACTCGGGAGGCTGAGGCAGGAGAATGGCGTGAACCCAGGAGGCGGAGCTTGCAGTGACCTGAGATCTGCCACTGCACTCCAGCCTGGGTGACAGAGCGAGACTCTGTCTCAAGAGAAAAAAAAAAAAAAAAAAAGTACAAAAATTAGCTGAGTGGTGGCACTTGCCTGTAATCCCAGCTACTCGGAAGGCTGAGGCAGGAGAATTACTTGAACCCAGGAGGTGGAGGTTGCAGTGAGCCAAGATCGTGCTACTGCACTCCAGCCTGGCAACAGAGTGAGACTCTGTCTCAAAAAAAAAAAAAAAATGCAATGACTAAAGTACTACTGAAGTCTCTTTCTCTCTCTCGTAACAATCTAGACTTGCCACGCAGCTGAGGGTGCATATCTGTCTCCTGATGTTATTCAGAGATTGTCTCACAGCCAGGCGTGGTAGCTCAGGCCTGTAATCCTGGCATTTTGGGAGGCCAAGCAGGCGGATCGCTTGAGCTCACGAATTTGAGACCAGCCTGGGCAACATGACAAAACCTCATCTCTACAAAAAATAAAAAAGTAAAATTATCCAGAAGTGGTAGGCACGCACTTGTAGTCCCAGCTACTCAGGAGGCTGAGGCAAGAGAATTGCTTGAACCGGGGAGGCAGAGGTTGCAGTGAGCCAAGATTGCACCTCTGCACTCCAGCCTGGGCGACAGAGGGAAACTCTATCTCAAAAAAGAAAAAAAGAGAGAGATTGTCTAACTGCTTTACCCTTCCCTGAGGGTGGTGTTCTCATCTGCATGATTATAACTAGATTGTGGCCACATTTACACTCAAACCTAAAGAAAGTGGGAAATAGGTAAGTTGCCAAGTAGGCAGCTTTTCTTGATGTTGTGAGTGATACAGTAATTACATACGTATATCTCACTTCGGCTCGTACCACATTGGTCTAGATTATCACATGGGCAAGGCAGGCACCATATATAGCCTGTAGTTGGGTGACTTTATGTCCAGTTTAAATATAATGGATATGGAAGGAGTTTGGTACTCAGAAAATGAAGTGGGCAATGGCAATTTGGGCAGTTTCCCAAGTATGCAGCACAGGTGGATACCATTATCCTTCTCTTACAGATGAGGCAACTGAGCCCATGTGATTTGCCCTTGGTTGTACCGTTAAGGACCTTGAGATGGGGAGGTTACCTGGATTATCCGAGTAGACCCAGTCTAATTACAAATCCTTAAAAGCAGAGAGCCCTTAGTATGGGATGAAGAGTCAGATAAGCGTAAGAAGGACTTGACCGCCCCCCGTTACTGGCTTTGAAGATAGATGAAGGTGGCCATGAGCCAAGGATTGAGGCAGCCTATAGAAGTTGGGAACAACCCTCAGCTGACAGCCACCAACCCAGCTCACAGGCGTGAGCCACCAACCTTGTAGGACCCTGGTCCTACCACCTCAACTGAATTCTACAAACGACTGAATTCTGCAAACAACCCAAATGAGCAGCAAAGATACTTTCTCCTCAGGTCTCCAGGAAGGAATGCAGCCCTGTGGTCAGGCATCTGAACTGCTCCAGGACTCAATAGCAGGCTGTGAGATGTTTCTTGGAAGGAGAATCACTTACAACGCACAGCCTTCATTCTAAGTGTCCTGTCCATTCCTGTCACTGGGTCCCACTCAGCATATTGGTCTGCCACACATAGCCCATCACTGGGTCCTATTTAAACCTGGCAGCCTTTTAAATCAGCAGTAAGTGGATAAGAGCAGAACATCCAAATGTGATATATGTTGATTCCAAAAATCAAAAACAGCCTCCCAAATGTTGGGCTTCTTCTTTTTTTTTTTTTTTTTTTGAGACGGAGTCTCGCGCTGTGTCACCCAGGCTGGAGTGCAGTGGCGCGATCTTGGCTCACTGCAAGCTCCGCCTCCCAGGTTCACGCCATTCTCCTGCCTCAGCCTCCGAGTAGCTGGGACTACAGGCGCCCGCCACCACGCCCGGCTAGTTTTTTGTATTTTTAGTAGAGACGGGGTTTCACCATGTTAGCCAGGATGGTCTCGATCTCCTGCCCGCCTCGGCCTCCCAAAGTGCTGGGATTACAGGCTTGAGCCACCGCGCCCGGCCGGGCTTCTTCTTTAGTGATAGAGGATGCTTCTATCATGAGTCTAGCTTTGGAAGGGATATCATGATACACATGCCTGACCTCCAGACCACCAGAACTTCATAGGGATTACACATTCCTACATTCAAGGGATATCTCTCTCACCTTCTGGCATTCATGTAGCATATTAATACATCCTGCCATACTTGCTGCTTCCTGTTCACCAGGTTCTATCTGCATGTGTCGTTCAGGTGTTAGAACAGTGTGTTATCCTATTGGATGATAGATAATCAAGGTCCTCACTGGCTGCTGGTGTTCTCTGATTATTGAACAGACAGGAAAAGCATTTTCCAAATCAGTCACGGCATACCAGTTGCCAGGGCTGTTTGTTTGTTCTGGTGAGAAACAACATCTGGAACAGCAGCCACATCTAGTCAGCATCTTTTGAGGCTTAGAGTACACTGTCCTCCAAGAGCCATTCTTCTGTACAAGCCAAATGAAAAGTAAAAAGAGACATGAGAGAATCATCGCCTCTGCATCTTACAAGTCTTTGATGGTGGTGCTAGTCTTGAAGATGCCCAAAGGAATCTGGTGGTATGTTTTCTTTAGAGAGAGGGTGTTCCAGGGGCTTCAACTTGCCTTATCATACAGCCCCACTGGGACCAAAGAGCCACAGAGTCCTGCCAAATGTCAGAACTTTTTTTTCCCCTGTTGAGACAGAGTCTTATTCTGTCATTCAGGCTGGAATGCATTGGCACAATCACAGCTCACCTCAGCCTTGACCCCCCAAGCTTGAGTGATCCTCCATCCCTCTCTTTCTTTCTTTTCTTCTTTTTTTTTTAGACAGAGTCTCCCTCTGTCAACTAGGTTGGAGTGCCTTGGCTCACTGTGACCTCCGCCTCCCGGGTCAAGCGATTCTCCTGCCTCAGCCTCCGGAGTAGCTGGGATTACAGGCGCCTGCCACCACGCCCAGCTGATTTTTGAATTTTTAGTAGAGACAGGGTTTTACCTTGTTGGCCATGGTTGGCCAGGCTGGTCTCGATTCCTGACCTCAAGTGATCCCACAGCCTCAGCCTCCCAAAGTGCTGGGATTACAGGTGTGAGCCACCGCGCCCACCCGGCCGTCCGTTTCTTATTTTTAAACTGCTATAGTACTTTCAAGCAAATCCAAATCCCTGACAGCATGTCATTTCTCCCATAAAAATTTTTCTTCTATAGCGCTTACCTTTATGACCACTAATAATACTAAAATTAAAATTTTAAGTCTTTGATATCTCGTACTAATTTCACAGTTCTGCTAATTATCTCAAATTAGCTTTACATGTGTACTGCAGTTAGTTTGTTCAGGTTAGGATCAAACGAGATTCATTGCATTTGATAATTATTTCTCTTAAGTCTCTTTTAATGAGGATACTCTCTCTTCCCGACACACTGTGTTATGCCATTCACTTACTGAAAAAAGTAAGGATAATTGGCCTGTAGAATGTCTTCTAGAGTTGGCTGGTTTCCCATGGTATTATTTAACTTGTTCTTCTGTCCCCTGCGTTTTCTTTCTTTTTTTTTTTTTTTTTTTTCTTTTTGAGATGAAGTCTTGCTCTGTCACCCAGGCTGGAGTGCAGTGGCGCTATCTCGGCTCACTGCAAGCTCCACCTCCCAGGTTCATGCCTCAGCCTCCCGAGTAGCTGGGACTACAGATATGTGCCATGTGTGCCACCATACCCGACTAATTTTTTACATTTTTAGTAGAGATGGGGTTTCACCATGGTAGCCGGGATGGTCTCGATCTTCAGACCTCATGATCTACCCTCCTCTGCCTCCCAAAGTGCTGGGATTACAGACGTGAGCCGCCACGCCTGGCCCCGCTTTTTATTTTTATTTTTATTTTTTTTCTTTTGAGATGGAGGCTCGCCCTGTCACCCAGGCTGGAGTGCAGTGGCAGTGATGAGATCTCAGCTCACTGCAACCTCCGCCTCTGGCCTCCCGAGTAGCTGGGATTATAAGCATGTACCACCATGCTTGGCTAATTTACAAAAATAACTTTTAAAAGTCACTAAACAATCACAAACCTTACAAAAAGCAACCTGATTTCTAGGCTCTTCTCATAGTATAATATTCAAAATATCCAGTTTTCAACAATAATTTATAAAGCAAACAGGAAAGTATGGCCCATTCACAGGGAAAAAAGTAGTTGATAGAAACCATCTCTGAGGACACATTGGGTGTACTAGACAAATGCTTTGAATCAACTGTCTTAAATATGCTCAGAAAGCCAGCTGAAACCATGAGCAAAGAACTAAAGGAAACCAGGAGCACAGTGTATGAACAAGTAGAGAGTATAGATAGAAATTAAGAAACTGGCCAGGCGCAGTGGCTCACGCCTATAATCCCAGCACTTTGGGAGGCCGAGATGGGCGGATCACTTGAGGTCAGGAGTTCAAGACCAGCCTGGCCACCATGGTGAAACCCGTCTCTACTGAAAACACAAAAATTAGCTGGGTGTGGTGGTGGATGCCTATAGTCCCAGCTACTTGGGAGGCTGAGGCAGGAGAATCGTTTGAACCTGGGAGGTGGAGGTTGCAGTGAGCTGAGATTGCGCCACTGCACACAAGCCTGGCGACAGAGCAAGACTCCATCTCAAAAAAAAAAAAAGAAATTAAGAAACCAACAAATATTATACCCCAAAATTACAATAGCTGAACTGAATTCCATTAGAGGAATTCAGAAGCAGATTTGAGCAGGCCAAAGAATCAGAGATCTTGAAGATACAGCTGTTGAAATTATACAATTGGAGGAGGAGCAGAAAGAAAAATGAATGAAGAAAAGTGAATAGAGCCTAAGGGACCTATAGAACTTCATCAGATGTACCAATATTCACATTAAGGGGAAGCCCAAAGGAGAACAGAGAGCAAAATGAACAGAAAGAATATTGAAGAAATAATGGCTGAAAACTTCCCAAATCTGATGAAGAACAAGAATCTATACATCCAAGAAGCTGAATGAATTCCAAGTAGGATGAACTCAAAAGAAGTCCACACCACGATACATCAGAGTCAAACTGTTCAAAGCCAAAGACACATAGAAAATCTTGAAAGCAATAAGGGAACGACCCAATCAGAAAATAGGCAAACAGGCCGGGCGCGGTGGCTCATGCCTGTAATCCCAGTACTTTGGGAGGCTGAGGCGGGTGGATCACGAGATGAGGAGTTCGAGATCAGCCTGGCCAATATGGTGAAACCCCATGTCTACTAAAAATGCAAAAATTAGCCAGGCGTGCTGGCGCATGCCTGTAGTTCCAGCTACTCGGGAGGCTGAGGCTGGAGAATCGCTTAAACCTGGGAAATGGAGGTTGCAGTGAGCTGAGATCACGCCACTACACTCTAGCCTGGGCAACAGAGCAAGACTCCGTCTCCAAAAAAAAAAAAAGAAAAGAAAATAGGCAAACAGCTAGGCACAGTGGCTCACGCATGTAATCCCAACACTTTGAGAAGCCAAGGTCAAGCAGATAGCTTAAACCCAGGAGTTTAAGACCAGCCTAGACAACATGGTGAAACCCAGTCTGTACAAAAAATTTAAAAATAACAGCATAGTGGCGTTAACCTATATTCCCAGCTACTCAGGAGGCTGAGGTGGGAAATCACTGGAGCCCAGGAGGCAGAAGTTGCAGTGAGCTGAGACTATACTACTGAACTCCAGCCTGGATGACAAAGTAAGACTCTGTCTCAAAAAAAACATGGGCAAACAATGTGAATTGGTATTTATCCAAAAAGATGTACGAATGACCAACAAACACATGAAAGCATGCTGAACGTCATTAGTCATTACGAAAATACAAATCGAACTATGGTAAGATAACACTTCACACCTATTAGGATGACTATAATGAAAACAGTGGAAAAAAACAAATGTTGACATGGATATAGAAGAAATGACACCAGTGTACATTGAGGTGGTAGTAGAAAATAGTACAGCCACCATAGTTAACAGTTGGCTTTCCTCAATAAGTTAAACATAGAATTACCACGTGATCCAGCAGTTCCACTCTCAGGTACTCACCCAACTTGAGTGAAAACAAGTGTCCATACAAAATTTGTGCAAGAATGTTCATTTAACCACAATTCACAATAGCCAAAAAGCAAAAATAATCCATCAACTGATGAATAAACAAATGTGATACATTCATACACGCTAAGTGAAAGAAGACAGGCACAAAAGCATATGTATGATTTCCATTCCTATGAAATATCAGAGGTATATGGGCATTCGCCTAGCCTCAGAATGGCAATCTATAGAGCCCAAAAGCAAGTTGTGGGCTGCAGGGCGGGGAGGAATGGGGAATGCCTGCTTAATGGGTACAGGGTTTCCTTTTGGGGTTTTAAAAGTCTCTTGGAACTAGGTGGTGATATTGATTGTATAACATCGTGAATACTCAAAATATCCCTGAATTGCATATGTTAGAATGGTTTAAACAGTCAATTTTATGTGCATTTTACCACAACAAAACAATAAATACACACATGCATCCTCACACTCACAAAGGGGATGGGCTAAGATCTGAAGGGCACGGCTCCCAGAGAGGAGTTACCCACACGCTGGCTGGTGGTGAGCGCAGATAACTACAGGAGTGCGGGCTGTCGCTGACTGCGTAGAGGAGGCCCTGAGCCTTCCTGTGTGAGCGCAAGGTCAGCAACCACAGTCACAGCCCCGGCTTCTCTTCCTGTCCTGCCCCAGGAGCACATCCTGCGAGGCTGTTTCCTGCCTGATTGAGAATCTAGTTGCCAAACCACCTTTTCTCTGAAGGTATCACCATGATTTTTCCCCTGTTTCACTGTTCACTTTTATATTACTGGCTAGGTAGTCACCACATCCCATAACAACACTCCATTCTGGCCCTATCCAGTAGTACACTTACAAATGCAGAAGCAAAGGACTTGAGTAGATGTGCAGTGTTGAATAGCTGTTTGAACATTTCAGCAATGTTGAGTTGCAGGCATGCTTTATGTATTCCTCTGTCCATTTTAGGGGAGCCTTTTCTTCTCCCTCCATACTCATTATTATTTCATGTCAGTGCCAGGATGAGCAAGCAAGTAGACCGTCTTTCCAAGCCTTCGTGAAAAGACTGTAACCTTAATTTTTTACAGCCTCTTCTCTCCCTGAGCAGCTTCCCAGGGAAAGTCAGCCAGCCCCAGGCAGCTGGAGTGCCACAACTTAAAGCCACACCTCAGTCTCAGGGTGCTCTTACAAAGGAGGTTTGTGCTGTAGAAAATTGCAGTTGTGTTTGGGCACATAGCTTTTCAAATTGAAAAGTTTTTCATTAGAACTTTGAGTCTAGCGGGGCGCAGTGGCTCACACTTGTAATCTCAGCACTTTGGGAGGCCGAAGCAGGCAGATCACTTGAGGTCAGGAGTTTGAGACCAGCGTGGCCAACATGGTGAAACCTCATCTCTACTAAAAATACAAAAATTGGCCGGGCGCGGTGGCTCAAGCCTGTAATCCCAGCACTTTGGGAGGCCGAGATGGGCGGATCACGAGGTCAGCAGATCGAGACCATCCTGGCTAACCCAGTGAAACCCCGTCTCTACTAAAAAATACAAAAAAACTAGCCGGGCGTGGTGGCGGGCGCCTGTAGTCCCAGCTACTCGGGAGGCTGAGGCAGGAGAATCCCTTCAACTGGAAGGCAGAGGTTGCAGTGAGCCGAGATGGTGTCACTGCACTCCAGCCTGGGGGACAGAGTGAGACTCTGTCTTAAAAAAATTTTAAAAATTGACCAGACACAGTGGCTCACGCCTGTAATCCCAGCACTTTAGGAGGCCAAGGCAGGTGGATCACCTGAGGTCGAGAGTTCCAGACCAGCCTGGCCAACATGGTGAAACCCCATTTCTACTAAAAATAAAAAAAAAATTAGTCGGGCATGGTGGTGGGTGCCTGTAATCCCAGCTACTTGGGACACCGAGGTGGGAGAATCTCTTGAACCCGGGGAGGCAGAGGTTGCAGTGAGCTGAGATGGAGCCACTGCACCCCAGGCTAGGCAACAGAGCAAGACTCCATCCCAAAAAAAAAAAAAAGGTAGAACCTTGAGTCATAGAACATTGAGTAGTGTCTTCACAGTTGCTGAGTAACTAAAATCATAAACAGATGTACTACTAAGGTGACTCATTAAGGTAATAGTACTAAATGCACTTTATCTAAATTTTGTCTCCTTGACAGTGTGTGTGTGTGTGTGTGTGTGTGTGTGTGTGTGGTTTTTTTTTGTGTTTTTTTTGTGTTTTTTTTGAGATGGAGTCTCGCTCTGTTACACAAGCTGGGATGCAGTGGTGACGCGGTCTCACTTCACTGCGGCCTTCACCTCCCAGGTTTAAGCAATTCTCCTGCCTCAACCTCTCAAGTAGCTGGGATTACAGGTGTGCACCACCACACCTGGCTAATTTTTGTATTTTTAGTAGAGACAGGGTTTCACCATGTTGGTCAGGCTGGTGTCAAACTCGTGAGCTCAAACGATCTTCCTGCTTTGGCCTCTCAAAAGTTCTGGGATTACCCCGGAATGGAGCGTGCATCACCATGCTCAGCCTTTTCTCTCCATTTTAAGCCTACAGGGATTCCTATAACAAATAGGGCAGTCCTTTTCTAAATGCCAATTACTAGGCACTGTGCCAGGGTGCTTTATATTTCGTCTGTAATCCTCAAAACACCATGAGAAAGTTGTGTTTTTACAGTTTAAAAATGAGGAAACTGAGTCTCCATGCAGGTGAATAATTTACCAAAGATCATAGAATTAAAACTTTGAAGCAGTTCTCAGACTCCAAAACCTAGGCTCTTTTCACTGCTTAATGTCACAAAAAGCCATAAGTGATCATTTTATGTGGAAATAAATGAATGTTTAATGGCCATATTTTTTTCCTCCTCGTTGTCCCTCCCAGCTCCAAATTATATTTTCTTATTTCAGTGAAGAAAAAATGACTGCTGCCCGCATTAGAAAATGCCACAAGTGTGGGACTGGCCTCATCAAATCTGAAGGCTGCAACCGCATGTCTTGCCGCTGTGGTGCCCAGATGTGCTACCTCTGTCGAGTTTCTATCAATGGATATGACCATTTCTGCCAACATCCCCGCTCCCCAGGAGCCCCTTGCCAAGAGTGTTCAAGGTGCTCTCTCTGGACCGATCCCACTGTAAGTAGACACATGGCTGGCTATTGCTTTATAGGGAGAAAATAGAAATATATTTTTATGACAAGTATTTTGAATATACATAACAAAATTTGACTTAGGAAAAGAATATAGGAAATTACATAGACTGATAACCAAAGAAAAAATTTGAGAAAGTATCAGCTGCTACTCATGCTGCTCAAAGTAGCAGGCCCTAACAGTTTTGTAGGCAAATTCTTTTAATTCTTCAGGAAATAAAATTATTCTATGCCCTCTGAAATATTCCAGAGCAAAGTAAGGAAACATACATGTATCTGTTCAAAGCCAGCATAACACTGATTCCAAAGCCTGATGGAGATAGCCCTAACAAATAAAACTATAGATGTTCTTATGAGACTTACATATAATCTAGATTTTAAATTATCTAAATAAAATATTAGCAAATAGAAAGCATGACCAAGTGAGTTTGTTCCAGAAATGCAATGATGGTTTAATATTAACAACCTCTATTAACGTAAATCATTATATGGTATCTGTAGATGGTGAAAAGACATTTAAGAAATCAAATATTTCTTCTTGATTTAAGCTTTAAAAATACAGTATTACAAAGATGATTCCTTAATAATATTTTAGACCCCAAATTTCAATACAGATGTTAGCATACATTTAGTAGTAAAATAAAGTCAAGTATAACATTATCAATCAGCAATCCTATGTTCTGAAACTGCTTGTCAGTGCACTTAGCTAAGAGAGTAAAAGGTATAGTAGATACTGGAGACAGTCATAGCTAATGTTTATTGGGCACCTACCATGTGTCAGACACTGTTCTAAGTACTTGTATTTATAAGTGTTTTATATGTAAAGAAAGGAAAACTTGGCTGGGCGCAGTAACTCGCGTCCGTAATCTCAGCACTTTAGGGAGGCCGAGGTGGGTGGATCACCTGATATCGGAGTTCGAGACCAGCCTGACCAACATGGCAAAGCCCTGTCTCTACTAAAAATACAAAAATTAGCCAAGCATGGTGGCACGCCCCTGTAATCTCAGCTACTCACAAGGCTGAGGCACGAGAATCACTTTAACTGGGGAGGTAGAGCTCGCAGTGAGCCAAGATCATGCCACTGCACTGCAGCCTGGGCAACAGCAAGAGTCTGTCTCAAAAAATATATATATATCAATTCTTAAAAATTTTAAACTAAAAACAAGCACAAGCACTGTTCAAAGCTGATCTATAAGAATAACGATTTTTGGCCGAGCGCGGTGGCTCAAGCCTGTAATCCCAGCACTTTGGGAGGCCAAGGCGGGTGGATCACGAGATCAGGAGATTGAGACCATCCTGGCTAACATGGTGAAACCCCGTCTCTACTAAAAATACAAAAAACTAGCCGGGCGTGGTGGCGGGCGCTGGTAGCCCCAGCTACTCGGAGGCTGAGGGCAAGGAGAATGGCGTGAACCTGGGAGGCGGAGCTTGGCAGTGAGCCGAGATCGCGCCACTGCACTTCAGCCTGGGTGACACAGCGCGAGACTCCGTCTCAAAAAAAAAAAAAAAAAAAAAGAGAATGAACGACTTTTTTTGTTGTTGTTGTTGAGACAGAGTCTTGCTCTGTCACCTAGGCTGGAGTGCAATGGTGTGATCTCAGCTCACTGCAACCTCCACCTCCCGGGTTCAAATGCTTCCTGATTCTCTTGCCTCAACCTCCCAAGTAGCTGGGACTACAGGCACATGCCACGACACCTGGCTAATTTTTGTATTTTCAGTAGAGATGGGGTTTCACCGTGTTGGCCAGACTGGTCTCGAACTCCAGAACTCAGATGATCCACCTGCCTCGGCCTCCCAAAGTGCTGGGATTACAGGAATGAGCCACCACACCTGGTCAGAATAATGTCATAATGCAAGAAGACATCTTTACCAAAAGGCGATTGCATGTGACAGTGAGCTCCCTGCTGACCTGGAGCAAGTGGACCAAGGCCACTAGGAGGCAGGCCTGGTGACACATGGCACTTCTCAGCTTTCACTGGGAAGAGTGAAGGGAGCCTCGGTAGTGTTTAGTGGAGAGACATTCCTGTCCTCTAAGAAAACATTCAATATTACAGAGAGATCACCTCTATCCAAAGTCACCTAGAAATTTAATGCAATTCACATCTAAATTCAGTAGGATTTTTAAAAACTGACTTATTTTGAAAATGAAACTACTTTTTACTGTAAAGCTATTAATACACATAGGTGAACATAATAATAGGCAAATAGATCAAAGGGACAAGATAGAGACCAGAAACAGAAATTAATGTGTGATTTTTTTAAATGCCATTTAAAATCATTGGAGAAATTATATAGGTGTATTTATCTGTTAATTCCTTTTTTTTTTTTTTTTTGAGACCATGTCTTGCTCTGTCACCCAGGCTGTAGTGCAGTGGCACGATCTTGGCTCACTGCAACCTCCACCTCCTGGGTTCAAGTGATTCTCCTGCCTCAGCCTCCTGAATAGCTGGGATTGCAGGCACACACCACCATGCCCAGATAATTTTTGTATTTTTAGTAAAGACGGTTTCACCATGTTGGCCAGGCTGGTCTTAAACTCCTGACCTCGTGACCCACCTGCCTCGGCCTCCCAAAGTGCTGGGATTACTGTGCCTAGCCTTTATCTGTTAATTCTTAATTGTGCAGTGTTGCCAGAATTAGTCTGAACAGAAAGCCCCTGTCCTCATTGGGCTTATGGTCTAATACAGTCTACAAGAATCTGTGGAGTATTTAAAGCCATGTCAGAAGAACAGGTGATGCAGTAGAGAATGGTCGGGTGGGAGGAGGGAGGCCAGCTTTTAAATAGATGGGGGCGAGAGTAATTTGCAGTGCAACCTAGAGGAGGAGCAAGGCTGGCAAGGAAATCAAACACATAGGGCCTTTTTGGGGATCAGAAAGAAAGCAGGTGAGGTTTGTAGGTGGAGAGCCACAGGGACGTGACAGCCGTTGGCCCAGAGGCCGGCCTCAGGTCTGGAGTGTGATTAGAGCCATTTCAGGGCATTGTAGGGGGCTATGTTTCCAAGGTCACTCTAGCTGCTACATGGAGAGAGAGAGGGCAGCATGAAGGGAATGGCTTCTGTAATCTTGGAGAAGAGAAGGTTTCTTGCATTACATCAAGAGAAGCATTACATCAAGGCCAGACTAAAAAACCATAAATTCTCACTGGCAAATGACGTCATAAACAAAGATTAGGGATACATGAAAAACTGGGGGAAAGGGTCAGGCACAGTGGCTCATGCCTATGATGCCAACACTTTTGGAGGCCAAGGTGGGCAGATCGCGGGAGCCCAGGAAGTCTGGTTAACATAGCGAGACCCCATTTCATTTAAAACAAAAAAATTAAAGCTAGGCGCAGTGTCTCATGCCTGTAATCCCAGCACTTTGGGAAGCCGAGGCGGGTGGATCACCTGAGGTTAGGAGTTCGAGATCAGCCTGACCAATATGGTGAAACCTGTCTCTACTAAAAATGTAAAAATTAGCCGGGCATGGTGCTGCACACCTGTAATACCAGCTACTCAGGAGGCTGAGACAGAATTGCTTGAACCCAGGAGGCACAGATTGCAATGAGCTGAGATTGCGCCACTATACTCCAGCCTGGGTGACAGTGTGAGACTCTCTGTCAAAAAAAAAAAAAAAAAGTGGGGCCGCGTGTAGTGGCTCATGCCTGTAATCCCAGCACTTTGGGATCTCAAAAAAAAAGAAAAACAGAAGTGTCTTCTTCCTCTGTGTGTAAGTACAGAGGTGAACAGCTCAGGGACGGTCTAGCACCTCTTACCTAGGATCCAGTTGCTTCCAGCATTCTATTCTGCCACCCCTAGATCACATGTGGTCATTGTCTAAAAAGGAGCTCTGGCTGATAAATCCACATTGCAAGCAGCAAAGGGGTGGAGTAAGGCTAAAGAGACTGCTTACCTATCTCTTAAGTAATGTTAGGCTTCCAGAAGCTGCAACAGGTCACTACTTCTTCAGTCCTATCAGCCAGAACTTAATGCCATGCTTCCCCAACTGCAAGCAAGATGGGAAGTAGTAGCCATTACAGACCCAGCCAGAATGTCTGTGGAGGAAGACGTTATACTGAGGAGTCTCCCTATGGTCTATTCACCTCAACTCAAAAATGGACAGAGGAAGTTTTAAAAAAGAATTATAAGTAGGGAAAAAAGCTGCTTGCTGGCCAGGTGCAGTGGCTCATGTCTGTAATCCCAGTGCTTTGGGAGGCCGAGGCAAGAGTATCACTTGCATCCTGGAGTTTAAGAATAGCCGGGGCAACATAGTGAGACCCCTGTCTTTACAAAATATCAAAAATTAGCCAGATTTGGTGGTGCTCGCCTGTCGTCATAGCTACTTGGGAGGCCGAGGCAGGAGGATCATTTGAGCCTGGGAGGTCAAGGCTGCAGTGAGCCATGTTCGTGCCACTGCACTGCAGCCTGGGTGACAGAGCAAGACCCTGTCTCCAAAAAAAAAAAAAAAAAAGCTGCTTGCCTTTCTACCTGGCCACAATCTGGTGGAATTGACTAACAGCCACCCCTAATAATCAAGTAAATGGAAATGAAAATAGCACCTGGCTGCTAGTAGGTAATTTTCAGATGTGTTGGCATCTCCTACACTGTAATTGGGCATAGTGGGCAGTTACGGTGTACAAATCAGAAGATGTAGTGCGTGTCCTTGATCTGGGAGTTCCACTTAATTAGAAAAGGTTATCCTCAGGAGACAGTTGGACAAGTTCACAAAGTTCTGTCTGCAACTGTTCACTGAGTTATTTAAAGTTGTATAAATTTAGCAACACCATTTAAATATCCCAAAAAATAGGAGATATGTCAATTTTTATATATGCTTACATTAGAATAGTACAAAAAGTAAAATTTTATATATATATATATATATCTCCGCACTTTAAAACATGGAGGAAAAGAAACATGGGAAAATTTTCACATAGAAAACAAACAGCAGGCCGGGCGCGGTGGCTCAAGCCTGTAATCCCAGCACTTTGGGAGGCCGAGACGGGCGGAT